TCTTGAAGAATAGTTGTTAGCCCAAGCCATATTTCCTTTCTCTTATCTTTTTTTTTGTTCGAATCGTATTGTGCACAAGGTTGGCCGTGTTGAGTGGGGCTTGCGAGGCGACATACAACTTTTGTGTAATTTATTCTTGGAAAATGTAGATTATTCTATTATTGAATTAGCCCAATAGAATGTCAAGAAAATCCCATGTAAATGTAAGCCGAATTGATTGTGAGCAGCCCAATAGATTATTCTATTATTAAATTGTTACTTTGTTTGAATGTATTAGGGTTAGGCATCCAGGCCCCACTATACTTCCATTGGCTTTGAAGAATTCCAGCCGACATCTTATTTTCCCGATCTGTCAAGTGGGGAGCCAAAAAGGAACACGTCGGTGACTGGCTATTTGTGACTCCTAGACATCTCGCCGGCCTTTCCTGGTGGTTTGTCGCCTGGAGACGATGGCGGAGAAGAAAATAGAGCAGCGATTCCGGCAGCGACATTGGTGTGTTGGGTTGCCGGTAGTGATGAGGCGATGACAGGTAGTCTGGCAGAGGGAGCAGCTCTTAGCGACTGAGGTTCTTCGGACCGGGCGGCGGGTGCGGTGGTTAATTGGACACAGGGGCGAGAGGTTGAGTGGCGGGTGTTGTAATTTCATCCATAATGATTAAACAAAAACACAGGGGTCGGAGATTGTTTTGGGTCGCCGATGAGACTGTTGCCGCCAGAGCTCGCTCGTCAGAGCTATAGGTTGTTGGTGAGGCTTGTTTTTGATCGTTGGGTCAATGGAGAGGATAGGCAAGTCAGGTGGGTATGGATGACAGCGAGAGGATTGGTCCTGGTCCTGGTGGTTTGGTTTCGCTACCGGTGACTGGATATGGTCCGGATGCGCTGGTTATTTGCTTCGGATCTGCTGTCTGCAAGCTTGAGACGAAGGTTGGCAAGTTGCAATGGGATGTGATGTTAAACTTGTGATCTTGAGGAAGGAGATAAACACGTGATATCCGTCTAGTCAGGGATGGCCTGATGAGGAGCAACGACTTGCAGTCAACAAGGAGCTCTGGATCGTCGTTGAATTCATTCGACGTTGACCGATCGTCTGAGGGTGATGACATCGGACGTGGAAACTGTTGTAGTAACCCGGTGGTTCACCGACGGGGATCGTCCGAGTTCCAAGGAAGAGTTGGACCAAGCGGGTCCCACTTAATCTTGTTTTTTTTTCTGCCAGCTGTTGGTTTTTTTGTGGTCTTTTGAGACTTGTCATTTCAATGCAGGAGAGTACAGCCAGTACACCCTTCCCCCTTTTTTGTCGGTTTGAAAAGAAACAGACTGTACAAGTCTTGTAATCTCTTTTCTTTTGCTGATAAGATGTAAAAGACTTTGAATTTTGGTTCTGTATATGCAGTTACTTCTTTTGTAGAACTCTTTTTCTATATTTCTTTTTTCCTTGTTGGTTGAAAACCACATATCTCAACATCTTCCTATCCCTTTTTGTTTTTTGTTGTAGTACTGAGCAGTAAATTTTGGGAAGGATAGGGTGAACCTTTTTAAGGGTAAAAATGTTATTTGTTGTGTGAAATGTACAAGTACTACAGCTGTATTTACAAATTAAACACACTTGAATCACTACTAAAATAAAATTTGTATAGTGTGAACTGTAATAGATGGTAATAACTCAGTGGATCCAAGAATCTGAATTAAGAATATATACACGAATACTCAAGTGAAGAATAAAATTTCTGTGGAGGTAAAAATTTTGAAAGAACTTATTCCTTTCTCAAGCTTCTAAACAAACTAAGTAAAATCATAAACATAAGTTTTCTTGAAAATTATGGACTGAAAGTAGGGTTAAACCCGTCAAAACTTCTCCTCCCTTCTTATCTTTATTTTTTTGAAGGTTTTTGTAAAATGTACAAGCCATGTGGCTGTATGTACAAATAATTGTTACAATGGGTAACAATGTACATGGAAATGCACAGCTAGAGAAGGATCTTCAGATAATGCATGAACAAGAGGTGGGATAAAACTCATATAAAACACTTCTTTTCCTCTCAGCCTACTGGGAAAAACCCAAAATATAAACAAAAACGGGTTTGACAAAGTCTCTTCTTATAAGACTTTCTTTTCCCTTCAGTTTGCTCAAAAAGCTATTGAGATATGAAAAAGAAACAGATCTCATAATTTTCGTTTTTCTTTTTTGGAGCCTCCAAAGGAAACACCAACTTGAATTAAGATAAATAACCACAAAGAGTTTCTCTTCTCTTCAAGTTGTTTGATAAAACACCAAAATAAAAACGAAAATGGGTTAAGAACTCATAAGAGTTTCATTCTTCATGACTTGCTGAAGAACCCATCAAGTATAAACGGAAAAAATGGATCTGATAAAATCTTTTAAAGCTTAAGAGTTGTTCGGATGAACTAAAACGAATATCACAACATATTTGAGCAAAAAACGAGACAGATCTGAAGATCTGAACGAGAAAACCTCAACAGATCAAGAGATCTGAACTAAAAAGAGCATATCAAAAGATATGAACGATGGTTAAACAGATCTGAAGAGATCTTGTGAAGAACCAAACTGATCTGAACAGATCCTGGCAAAAGCCAAACGGATCTGAACTAAAGGGTGCTAGAAATGAACAGATCTGAGAAGAACCTGAGCTGAAGCACAACAGATCTGAACAGATCTTGGCAAGAACAAGATGATGGTTGCTTGTTCAAGCCCGGGATGGTGCCAATGATGCGACATCAACCTCCGGCGAGTCTTCTGGTCTTCTGCTGCGGCGGAGATCTGACATCACAGTGCAAAGTCGTTAGAGCCGCCCCAGGGACTGTGCCCCGGGAGCGGACTCCGACGGTCAAGTTAGATCAGCTAGAAGATCTGAGATGGTCCTCCATAGCTGGAGAGAACCATCTTGGTGCTAGTGTTGGCTGACGGCGGCGGGTGGCGGCTGAGCCACCCAACCGGAGTATAGTGGCGGCTGAGCCATGGGGGAAGGTCTAGTGGCGGCTGAGCCACCTGGGAGAGGAGAGAGTCCTCCTTCAAGGAGGAGACACTATTCTATTTATAGTGGACAATTAGGTCAAGGGGAATTGGGTCAGGCCTTGGGCAGCCCAATTCAGGCCCAGCTAGCAAGGAGCTGGGCAAGGCCGCCTGGAGGCGCCGGGCGGGGCTGGCGGGCGGGCCCCAGGCAGGGCTGGCGGGCACGCACCAGGAAAGGATGGCAAGGAGTGCCAGGAGAGGGAGCACCTCGACGGGCCGGCAGGAGAGTCCCCAGCAGGGCTGGCAAGGGAGTCCCCAGCAAAGCTCGCAAGGGAACACCAGGCAGGGCTGGCAGGAGCGCGCCAGGCCAGGCTAGCGCGCTAGAGCAGTCTAGGCCATGCCAATGGACCATATATCATCATCTCACATTAGGGAACAACCGATTCCTTAATGCTGAACTTGTGCTGACTTTTGTATTTATTATATCAACATACGATCCAAATCTCAAACCGCTAATCAAACAAAATTTCGTTTCACCATATTCAACCACCCTGCCTTGTAACTCGAACCGAAACTTCCCAGCCCTGGCTACCTCTACATCACGAACCTTATGCAACATCATCAAATGATAGAGCATCGGGTCACCATTCAGGGTGGACATACCAATGAAGATCCCAAAAGCTGTCTCTCGAAATAATTCAACTCGCCTACTATTTAGTTTTGTAATGTAATTTTTCAACATAGTCCCCAACGCCCCTTTAAAAGTACATTCTGCAGCCCATCTACGCAAACTATGCTGCAAAAGATTAAACATATGAGCCAAAATTAAAAAAATAATATTGAAAAGTAACTTTAAATAGCATTGTACTTTTATTTTTTAGCATTGTACTTATATATTGTTTTTTAACAATTTTATGCAACAAAATAATGTTTTTATTCTATAACTTTTTATACAATGGTCTATGTGAATAATTATCTTTCAAAATAAATTGTACTTTTTTTATAACAAATTTACAGAATTTTACAGAAATGGCCCCATATATATTATAAAATTTACATAAATGGTCCATTTTAATAATAATTATATAAATTTTCAATGTTTTTTTTTTAATTACAGAAATAATTCGAAATCGATTTTAATTTTAATTTACATATAATCAACATAAAATGATCTCAATATTCAATGGTCAATTTTAAGAGATAATAATTATAGAAAATCGAATATAATAATATATATATATATATATATATATATATATATATAATATATCGTTCCGCAGAGGCATTTATCGTTCCGCAGAGGGCCTCTACGGATCTGTTCATGACGAAATGCAGTGGATAAATCGATTTCTTATTTCTTCGATTCCAGTCCTTACACCCTAAAAACATACATGTTTATATATAACATTTAACCTATCAATTTCCAATTCATATAATCAATTTCTACTTCCTAGTTTATACAAAGATTAGGAAAAAAAATTGAAATATTACTTGATTCCATATCCATCGGATAACACATCTGAGTGCAGTTGCTCCACGAATCGAGCTTGCAGCGACATTTTTGTGTCTGTTCCGATCACGAATTGACGTCTGCAGCTTCCTTCCGCAGCTTCCTTCCACGAATCGACTGCCTAAACCCTAAACCCTAGACTCCTTCTACGTTCGAGTAAGGAGGAATAGAAGATCCGTAGAGCAATAAAGAATCCGCAGAGCAAATAGAAGATCCGTAGAGACGCCTCTGCGGTCCTTAAAACCCCGAAAAAAAATTGTTGCTTAGCGATGCCACTTCTTTTTCGCAGAATTGTGTATCATCCTCAGAAGCTTTAATTGATCCGCAGAGCACTTTCTGCGGATCTTGTGGTCATTTTTCAAAACTTAAATTTTCATGGTTAAAAGTTTTGAATACACCCCCAAATTTGGTTATGTGCCGAATAATCTCTGTAATAAATGCTCAGTTGTAGTCAATAATAATAATAATAATAATAATAATAATAATAATTAAAATTTAAAAAAAAGGTAATAACTAGCCCTTATTTTTCCCGTGGTTTGCTGGACCCAATTCCAAAAGCTGCCAACGTTTCCATATGAATTTCTTACACAAAGATTCAATCTTCATCAAATAAACCTCACTGAAAGTCGAGATGAAACCTCCATAGATCTTGTTTCCCACCTTTATTTACTCTCCCTCTCTCTTAAACTCTTATAGAGAAAGAAAGAGCGAGTGGAGTTGTGTTCCAACGCCACCCCGACCAGGCGACTACTGTTACTCATGGATGGGCACCGGCGGCGCCACATCCCCAAACATAGCCGTTTCCGTCACCTAATTCCGGCAATCTCTGCTATATCCGCCGCCATTCTCCTCCTCTATTGTTTCCTCTCTTTTCTAGCCCCTTCCCCTGATCATTTTCACCACTTTGGACACCATACCTCTGTAAGTTCTCTCTTTGAATTATTGGAAACACATCAATTAAAGTTTGTTAACTGATTTTATTTGATCGCAGTTCGATGATCATACCATTGACGATGACACACCTAAAGTTTCTCCGATCTTCGAAGTTCCGGTTAGGTTTTATTGCTTATATTGGGATACGAATGCTTGTAATGTGGTTGATTGGATCCAAATTAGCTCATTCGATTATCATTCATTTCCTCTTTTATTGCGATCTAGACCAGTAGCAAGATGATTAGTGACCGAAATCTTTGGAGCACAAGTATGTCAAAATTCTATTTTGGATGCAGTGATGCCACCAGTCAGTTCCCAAGTAAGTGGTTTCCTCAAAACTCAAAAGGGTAGTTAGTTCTTGTATGCTTTTCATTAATTTGTGTGTTTTCTTTTCTTTAACCACAGAAGCTCAATCAGTAACACGCCCTAATCGATACTTGCTGATTGACACCAGTGGAGGTTTAAACCAACAAAGAACTGGGGTAACTCATACTTGATAACTTGATATCTTCCTTCATTTCATCCTATTTACATAAACTAACTTATATTAATTCTACCTGTAATCTCAGATTACAGATGCTGTTGTTGCTGCACGCATTCTAATGCTACTCTTGTTGTTCCTAAGCTCGATAAGAAATCATTTTGGAAAGATTCAAGGTTAGTTACCACTTACCATTAATAAATCCATTTACAGTAGCTGTTATATAAGTAAACTTGGATGTAATGTAGCTGATATAAATACAATGCTTTTTTCTATACAGTACTTTCTCTGAGATATTTGATGTTGATTGGTTTATATCAAATCTATCAAAAGATGTGAAAATTATACGAGAACTTCCTCATAAGGGAGGCAAAAAATGGTCTCCATACAGTACACGTGTACCTAGAAAATGTGATGAGAGATGCTATCATATTCATGTACTTCCTTTGTTTTCAAAAAAACGTGTAAGTCCCATTTATTTATCAAATAATCAGTTAATTATAATTAATTGGAGTTTTACTTAAAGTAAATATTATATTTTGACAGGCTGTTGAACTGAGTAAGTTTGATTACAGACTTGCTAACGAGTTAGAAACCGATTTTCAAAAGCTTAGATGCAGGGTGAACTACCATGCTTTAAAATTCACAGCTCCCATAGTCAAAATGGGTCAAACATTGGTCAACCGAATGAGGAATATGGGAAAACACTTTGTTGCCCTTCACTTGAGATTTGAACCCGATATGCTTGCTTTCTCGGGTTGCTATTATGGTGGAGGAGAGAAGGAAATAAAAGAACTTGGTAAAATCCGCAAGAGATGGAAAACTTTAAACGTAATAGTACTTTTTTCTTTATACTGTTTGTCTGGATAAAGTGTTGTCTGTCTGTCTGGGGTATCTGGATAAATGATGTTTAAAAAAAATATTTACAGATTAGTGATCCGGAAAAAGAAAGGAGACAAGGGAGATGCCCATTGACGCCGGAAGAAGTAGGGTTGATGTTAAGAGCACTCGGATACGATAAAAATGTTCATATCTACGTGGCGTCAGGTGAAGTATCGGTGGGGCCCACACGTTGGCTCCATTAAAGGCGCTTTTTCCAAACATTCATTCGAAAGACACCATAGCCACGAAACAAGAACTTCTACCATTTTCACCATTCTCTTCTCGTATGGCTGCATTGGATTTTATTGTGTGTGATGAAAGCGATGTTTTTGTCACAAACAATAACGGTAACATGGCCAAAATATTGTCTGGACGAAGGTACTTTTTTTATTACTAACAACAATTGTAACAAATGTAAACTAACAAGATACAGTTGAGCTAGGGTTTCATATTATTATCAGATGAGATGGACAAGATACAATGAAAGGAAAAGACATAATATATAGACTAGCTAATTAAGGTTTTCTCAACATAAAACCCAATACAAAATAAAACCCAAAATTTTATCAGGCTAACAACAAAAAAATTGGTTTATTGGAAAAATAAAATATGTTTTGTTATGTGAGTGCCAGGAGATATTTTGGACATAAAGTGACAATACGTCCAAACGCGAAGAAATTGGCTCGGTTGTTTTTGGAGAGGGAAAAGCTGACGTGGCAAGAGTTTTTCATCAAGAGTGCAGGTGCATCAAGTGGGATTTATGGGGGAGCCGAATGAGAGGCCGGGGAGTGGGGAATTTCATGAGAATCCAAAGTCTTGTATATGTGAAAAACCAGATGCTAAAGTGAAACTTGTTGGTAATAATAAGTATATTGATGATGATGATGATCAAGAAGAGGAGGAAGAAGAAGAAGATGGTATTGTATCTAATCTTCGGTATCTGTTTTAATGACACAAATGTTGATGATGTTCCTTGGTATATGAGGAAAATGAATTGGAAGAGTTGCTTTCGGATTGAATAATCCTACACAATGGTGAAAACTAGGGCATTCAAAGAGAATGAAATCACCCGAAAATTGGGATTAAAGTACATATTCTAGATTCAAAATTGGGGACTAAATTTTGTAGATGTGCATTCTGTTGAGTTAAGGTACAGACGAGTTTTTGTAACGAGAGAATACGATATGTGTGCTATGAAAGCAGTTGTAAGTTTGTTGTTAGAACATCACATGAGTGTAATGTTAGTAATCTTTTAATTATGCTATACTTGCAAGCTTTTTTTACCCAAGGCTAGTGCGATATCAATACTATACCCAAAATGGCCTTCACAACACCATATGTTAATAATAACTACTTCGTACTTATTAGCAAATATCATAATTATTAGAGAGCCAAAATAACTTTTCATTTAGTAGCCAAAAATTTGCCATTATCCAAAATAAACAACCAAACCGTAAGTGAGGCTTACACGCTTGTGGTTTGAGCATTGAGCTACGGTTTCACGATATGGTAATAAAAAATCAATTTTTTTGGATAAAACAGTAGGTAAAATTACCTGCCTACGGTACGCTCTAAAATCGACTACAGTTTAGATTTTTTAAGAAAAGCAAACTGGTTATGAACAAAACAGTAGCTGAGAGCACCAAAGTTTTTTTTTTTTTTTTTTTTTTTTTTTTGATGACTATGGTTTGGTTGAAGTTGAACACTATTTCAAATTGGAAATTTGGCGTTTGGCCCCGTCACTTTGCCTTATGTAACAGCATGGACGGAAGGTTACATATTATGTCCAAAACTATAAAATTTGACTTTGCCCCCCCCTCCCCCCCAAATCATAACTTCAAGCTCCGTCACCAGTAACAGCCCATGAATGAGTAACGGATCACCCGTTTGCATCGGTACGTCCAACTAATAGCGAAAGCTAGTCGTCGCAAATAACTCATGACGTGCTTTGTCTAATAGTTTAAGCACCTCCACTATTTCATGACACAAGCTTTAACCAAAACACTAGTTATTAAACGTTTGTCCACATGCCGAGAAATAAATAATCACTAAATACGTTACATAATAAAAAGATATCACTATACATTTTACAAACTAAAAAAACGAAAAATGAAACTACCAAAACCATAAATGGACATGTCATTATAAAGGTATTGTATTGAATGTATATTCTGTTTTATTGAAATCAGTATACAGGTGAAGGCTTTATAGCCGTGATACAGCAATTGACCAGGAGCTAAACTAGGAAATAGAATCGGTAAACTATTGACTATATATTTACAGTTGTATTCTAAAATAAATACTATAATTAAATCCTTTATATTTAATTATCCGTGTGCCTTAATACGCCCCCGCAAGATGGAGGATCCATCGGAGACTCTAATCTTGGATTGTAAACGAAGAAATGGACCGCGACTAAGAGGTTTGGTAAGTGCATCAGCAAGTTGATCATTTGAGTGAACATGCAAAACCTTTAACGTACCAGCTATGACCTTTTCTCTGACAAAATGATAGTCCAATGCTATGTGTTTCATGCGGGAATGGTAGACTGGATTGGCACACAGATAGGTGGCACCTGTGTTATCACAAAATAATGTAGGTGGTAAAGACTGAGAAACACCAAGATCATTGAGTAAGTGTTGGACCCATGAAATTCAGAAGCAGCATTTGCCAAAGCTTTGTGTTCTGCCTCGGTGGAGGACCGGGAGACAGATTTTTGTCGTGATGATTTCCAGGAGATGATGTTGGACCCCAAATATAGTATGTAGGCAGTAGTGGAACGACCCCCATGTAGTATACCTCCCCAATCTGAATCAGAGAAAGCTGTTAAATGTAGCGGGGATCCTTTTTTGAAAAAGAGTCCATGGTGTATTGTGCCCTTGAGATACCGTAGAACCCGTTTCAGAGCTTGCAAATGATTCTCGGTAGGAGCATGCATAAATTGGGCTAACCGATTAACAGCAAAAGAAACATCAGGCTGTGTAAATACAAGATATTGAAGAGAGCTACCAATTTGCGGTACGGTGTCGGATCAACGCTTGGTGACCCATCCATGGGGTGAAGAACTTGAGAAGAGTTTAGAGGGGTAGCCACGTCTTTAGCACCATCCATATGGAATTGAGTGAGAAGATTTTGGATATGACGATGTTGGGATAGGAGTAGGCCATGAGGAGTGGGAATAACTTCGATACCAAGAAAATGATGTAGAGGTCCCAAGTCTTTTATAGAGAAGCGATTGGCTAGAGTTTTTATGAAGGTATCGATAAATGGGTTGTTGTTGCCAGTGAGGACAATATCATCCACATAGACTATAAAAAAACATAAGATATTGTTGTGGTTATAGATGAACAGGGATGCATCAGCTTGAGATTTTCGAAAACCACAAGAGAGAAGGAATGAAGTGAGTTCGGTATACCAAGCCCGTGGAGCTTGTTTCAGGCCATAGAGAGATTTTTGAAGTTTGCAGACATGTGTCGGGAAGTCAGGATGAATAAAACCAGGTGGTTGGGTCATGAAGACTTCTTCATGAAGTGTACCATGAAGGAAAGCATTGTTTACATCGAGTTGGCGAAGGTTCCAATTATGAGAAAGTGCAAGAGAGAGAATGACACGAATGGTAACTGGTTTTGCAACGGGACTAAAGGTATCAAAGTAGTCTTTACCATGTTGTTGAAGGAAACCTTTTGCTACTAAACGGGCCTTATATTTTGAAATTGTACCATCCGGATTTCGTTTGACTCGAAAGACCCACTTACAGCCGATTGGAGTATGGCTGTCAGGAGGAACTAATTCCCAGGTTCCATTTTGCATAAGAGCATTAAACTCTTGATCCATTGCATGGCGCCACTTAGGATCTTTGAGGGCTTGATTGTGTGTGTTTGGTTCAATGGTTGTGGGTATAGGATGAAGTGTGGTAGTATTGACAAAGGAGTCATTGAAATATTTAGAGTTTTTCTTGCGTGGACGGGCTGTATGTGGGGGTGAATTGTCTGGAGTGGGTACAACATCAGTACGAGATGATGCAGGGGAATTCTGAGTAGATGATGAGAATGGTGGTTGGGCTGATGTTGGGGATTTCGAGGATACAGGAGATGGTGAGGTAGTATCGATTGTGACCGAGGGGTTGGAGTTAAAGTTTGGAGCTTGTGGTGGTGATGTGGGCTGATTTTGTGGAGAGTGTGAATCGAATTGAGTGGGATCAGAGTGCTATGGAGGTTGTGGGATGGTGCGTATATGAGATGGTGAGGGTGCATCGTTGTTGCTATTAGGAATAGGGATGGATGTTGGTGATGATGGAGATGGCTGATGTTGGGAGTGAGTCATGACAAAGTGATCAGGTGTAGGTAAAAATAAGTCTGATGGGGAGAGGGACGAAAATTGATTATCAATGAATTGGACATGACGGGAATGGTACAATCGAGAGGTAAGGGGATCATAGCACTTATAAGCAGACTTTGAGGTGGAATAACCAAGGAATAAACAGGGAGTAGAGCGCGGTGTGAGTTTGGAGGTGGTGTAAGGTCGTAACCAGAGGTAACATAGGCAGCCAAATGGCTTAAGTTTGGTGTAATTTGGAGTTTGACCAAATAGGCGGTAATATGGAGTGTGATTTTGGATGGTAGGGGTTGGTAATCGATTTATTAGATAGACTGCGGTTTCAAAGGCGTGTGACCAGAAGGTTAACGGGAGTTTAGCGTAATGAAGGAGGGATAGACCGGTTTCAACTATGTGGCGATGACGCCTTTCAGCAATATCATTCTGCTCAGGGGTGTGGGGTGGAGTGGTATAGTGTGATATGCCATGTGTTTTAAGGAAAGAGGTGAGACCAATGTACTCACCACCATTATCACTAAACAACGAGATAATGGGTGTTTGAAGAAAGGTTTCAACTAGAGTTTTGAATTGAGGGAAGATGGTAGCAACATCCGATTTCTTTTTCATAGGATAGAACCACACATATTTAGAGAAATAGTCAACAAAAATGACATAGTAATTGAATTTGTCAATTGAGGTTTGGACAGGTCCCCATACATCAGTGTATAGTAGTTGCAATGGTTTAGAAACAACAAAAGAATTGGGGCCAAATGGCAATTAGTGACTTTTATTGATTGAACAAGATGAACAATGCATATTGGAAATTGCAGAACTAAGGCCTAACTTAGACAGAAGACATTTAAACACTTTGGTGGATGGATGTCCTAAGGTATGATGCCAATGACAGGAGGATGTTTTGATAGTGAAGTGAAGCTGCGGATTGGATGGTAGCTTGGCATAATAAATGTCTTCAAAGTTCTCCCCCCGCATGAGAAGCGCCCCCGTGCGAATATCCTTCACAATAAAAGAATGAGGAAAAAATTCAACAGAAACCCAGTTAGTTTTGCATAATTTGGCAACAGAAATAAGGTTCTTTTTCAATTGTGGAACACATAACACATTTGGAAGATTAAGTGTTTTGGATGATGTGTGTATGTGTTTGGAACCAACATGGGAAATTTTTAAAGTTTTACCATTCCCAAGAACTATTTCGTCTGGACCGCCATAATCTGAGACGCGTTGCAGATTGGAACTATCACCTGTGACGTGATTAGACGCACCGCTATCGAATAACCAGGGTGGAGATACAGTAGAGGAGCTGGTCATGGTTACATTAGCCACTGGTGGAGCTGTCTGCAGATTGTTAAGGACAACATTGTTCTCTCGGAGGAATCTAGCGAGTTTTCGACAATCACAGGTCAGATGGCCTGGGATGTTACAGAATTGACAAAAGGTGTTAGATTTGTTTTGACGATTACCACCAGGAATTGAGGACCAATTGGGGCGATTGGTAGGACCACGTTGTTGCTGATTTGAGGAGCGATTGTTTGAGCCGCCACGCTGGTAAGTGGAATTGTCTTGTCTTCCATGTGAGCGATTGGATTGCCGAGAGGTATAGTTAACAGTGGTAATTAC